TATGTATGTATAGTTTTAGAAAAAAATAATAACGACGGTGATATTGATGACTGTAATAATAATAATAATATATATATATATATATATATATATATATATATATATATATATATATATATATATATGAATTATTCACACAAAAACTAATGCAAAGGTTAATGATTTAAATGGCGAGACATCCATCATCGCAAACAATCCAAATAATATTAGTAATAAGAGGACAACGAAAATATATGTATTGTTGTATCCGAAAATGCTATTGAAAATGAGTTACTGTTTTTGGAGCGCGCAAAAGCAACGCTGAGTTTGATTTAAAATTTTAAACTATTTTTATTACTAAGAGAAAAAACAAGAACAACATCTATTCTATACCTGAAGATGTCTGTAGGAACAGACGAATACTTGTAGTAAAAAATAAGATCTAATACGGCAGAAATTTATATAAACAAGGATCATTTCATTCATAACGGATACGGAGGTTTTTTTATATTATTTGAATTGTTTGCGATGATGGATGTCTCGCCATTTAAATCATTAACCTTTTGCATTAGTTTTTGTGTGAATAATTCATGTATTTGTAAATTGATTGCACGTTTATATATATATATATATATATATATATATATATATATATATATATATATATATATATATATATATATATAAATATATATATATATATATATATATATATTGTTTTATTAAATTATATTAATGACGGTGATAATGATGACTGTAATAATATATATATATATATATATATATATATATATATATATATATGGTTTAATAAATGATAATAATGACGGAGATAATGATGACTGTAATAATAATAATAATAATAATACTAATAAAATATAATATATTTAGTTTTAGTAGATGGTAATAATGACGGTGATAATGATAACTGTAATAATAATAATAATAATAATAATAATAATAATGATACTCGTAATGATTATAGTAACTATCAATAATAACCGTATATGGTAATAAACTTATCAAATGATATTAATGATGATGGTGATAAAAGTAATAAGTATAATGATGCCTGTAATAATTACAATGGTGTCATTCAATAAAAAATACAAAAAAGATTGTGTCAAGGACAAAAAATTAAACAAAGTAAAACGCCTAATAATAATAAAAAACATGCTATACCCATAGATCGAAGATATATTGAGATGGTCAAAGTTGCATTCTAAAAGCTAAGCAGGATATTAAGAGACAGAAAAATTTCGTTAGAAACAAAGAAAGAGTACGTGATATCTCTCCTTTTTATGGCAGAGAATGCTGTGTACTTTACCCCAAAATCAAGAAGCGACTTGATGCAACAGAAATGTAGTTCTACAGAAAGATGCGTTACGAAGAAAAATGAAAACAAAAAAGAAACTTATACTTAACATCAGGAAGAGGAAATGAGATATTTCTGGGGAACGTAATGAGGAAGGAGGGCTTGGAAAATCTGACACTCACAGGACAGATTCAGGGAAAGCGAGACAGAGGAAAGCAGTACGTAACATACTTGATGAGTTTGAATAAATGGATGGTAGAACAGGATTTGGGAGAAATAACAAAAAGAGAAAACGTATTAAGAGCTCCAAAGGCTAGGAAGATTAGGAGGGCCGTGATCGCCCAGTCCCTGAAGGGATACGGCATATAAAAGAAGAATACAGATAGAAATTCTAGGGGTTTTAATTTAAGATCTTCCTTTACCTCATGCATTTGCACTTTTCTCATTTTTTGCCTGTATTTCGCTCCCTTATCACTTACAATCTTTGTTGCCTATTTATGTTTTTCTGTTGGAAAGGAATATAGCACAAGGCTAGTTTCAAGTGAGTTTTAGTTTGCATGGAGCCAGAGGGCAAAAATGATCCAGGCTTATCTGCATTCCCCTTTTCGAGGCATTTAGAGCGTCAAAGATTAAAAAGAGCTATCTCTAGATGGGAATTTACTGCCTGGAGACCCACCGACCCCTGGGACTTGACTAGATTAATTTTATGCCTCCAAGCCGACATGTTATATAAAGCAATGGGAAACCATTGAGTTTCTCAAGATGATATGGCAATTCTGATATATCTGTGGAGAGTAAGGATCCCGTACGATCTGAAGTGACATGACGTTACAAAAACGAAAACATGGATTAGTAATTTATTAAGCGTAGCTTAGATGTGACACAAGGTCGAAAGTATGGAGCACTTAGTGCGGACCAAACTAAATACTCTGTTGCAGACTATTTTGCTAACCTTTGTACCACGTCGAAGTGCCTTATGCGAAAGAAATAAGAAATGTACAGATATTTTTTGATGTATCTTCTCTTTTAGGAAAGCGAGAAGGCCACATTCCCTTTGCATTCCATTGGTGAGTGTATGTTCCACGTGAGCAGCAGCTTCTCACAAACCGCTGCTGTGTGGAACTGACACCCAAGACTTTCCATGAACAACCATCATCTCCTCTATATAATCCCATGATCTATGACCCTATACATCGAATTGTTCTTGGCCCTTGTACAGACTGAACATGTTTTCTTTTTAAAGTTAATATATTTACCTACATCCCAACGGTGATAGGGTGTGATGCAAAGATAGTATGGTACCCATCCGCGGACATAGCAGAGGAAAAAAAAAATTGATTCTATTAGGTTGGTGCAAAAATAATGACGTAAGAATGTCGTTTTTTGACGTTAAAAAATACGTCCAAAAACGACATTATTACGTCATTATTTTTGCACCAACCTAATACATTTTGGCCCCAGTTCGAAGGCATGAGAGCGTATGCTCTGATGGTGTTTACCTACCTTCCTACCAGGGGCAGGAGGTGACATGAGGTCCTTTTTAATGTGGGTAGTTCATACGGGTACCTATACGCTAGGGACACAATTCTGCATTCCTGAAAGCGTTTCCGTAAAATGTTTGGAAATAGAAACATATTAGAGAAATGAAGAAAATTATAGTACACTCTGATCCCGAACCGAGGTACAACTCTACTTGTATTGAATGCTCCCCCCCACACCCAACACAACCACGGTGGCGGGATATGACAAGAGATCCTTTTAAAGTGAGGTGCTATTACGTGTATATATGAGCAAGTAAAAAAAATGTCCAGTCCACACGACAACTGTCATACTGGCAGTGGCAAACCCTCCCCTCTTTAATGCAGCGAGGGAGGTGCTGTCGCAAAGTTAGAATCTCCGTGTCTATGTATTCTTCAAATTTTTTTTTCGTGAATTGCAAAGAAAAGAATACTGAAATGCTATGTAATATCGGTACCCCTATATGGAAGTGAAAGTTAGACAATGTACTCGCAGTTAAAGATAACAAAATAGACGCAATAACAGTTTGGTTTGGTTTGGTTTGGTTTGTTTTACAGCATATCAACTTCAATGGGTTATTTAATGCCGATAAGATTTTTATTGCTGGTAATTTTTTTTTCAAAAATGTATTGCGGGCAATAATGTTTTACAAAGTATTTATATTTTAATAGTTCTTTTTCTCGCAGTTCTCACTTGTAGAACTCCCTTCTCATTTCTTGCTTCCCTGAAAACTACAATCTTCAAAAACATTAAATTCAACGTCAGTCGCCTCACAAAAGATATCTCATTCGCCTTCGCCTCCTGTAACCCACTGCGTCATAGTGACAATGTCGGCTTGCTTGGGATGAAAGTATTAAAAAGAAGAAGAATACATTATAAACTAACTTAAAAGCGATCATATCGGGCGGCATTTAATCTAATTCCGGAGGGTTCTTGATTGGGCCTTCCTCACAATAGGTACGGAGGAGTAGATGCAATAGGCAACAATAAACTAAAGAAGAACTCAAAATTGATCGCTGCATTTAAGTATTGCATTAATATTTAAGTTTACCTTTTAAAAGTTCAACGATAAGTCTTCTGTCCCCACTTAATTTAAATACAATTTGACGCACGTAGGTCCTTATATTCCGCACAAAGAATTATTTTTATTTCACGGGTAACTTTCGCCGGATTTCAGAATTTCGATTATTCCCAAATTTTATTTAGAAGTTATTATGTGATTTAAAGGATGTATTCGATTTATTATGTGATTTAAAGCATATATTTTATTTATTATGTGATTTAAAGCATGTACTTCATTTATTATTCGAGCATGTATTCGATTTCTTATGTGATTTAAAACATGTATTTGATTTATGTGATTTAAAGCATGTATTTGATTTATTATGTGATTTAGAGCATGTATTCGATTTATTATGTGATTTAAAACATGTATTCGAATTATGTGATTTAAAGCATGTATTTGATTTATTATGTGATTAAAGCATGTATTTGATTTATTATGTGATTTAGAGCATGTATTCGATTTATTATGTGATTTAAAACGTATTCGATTTATGTGATTTAAAGCATGTATTCGATTTATTATGTGATTTAAAGCATATATTTTATTTATTATGTGATTTAAAGCATGTATTTGATTTATTATGTGATTTAAAGCATGTATTCGATTTATTATGTGATTTAAAGCATGTATTCGATTTATTATGTGATTTAAAGCATGTATTTGATTTATTATGTGATTTAAAGCATGTATTCGATTTATTATTTGATTTGGTTAAAAGTTACAGTTCCGACCATTTCTTTTTTTGTTGATTTGATTTGAATTTGGCACGCACCACACTTAGAGATGGTGACAATTGATCCATCCCATTTTCACGTTCTCAAAGGCCAAAGCTGAAACTAGGCATGGAATCAAACTTCATGTTGCGTCGTTTAAAATTAACTGTCAATCTTATAGCTAGCAACGTAAAATAAACATTTAGACGCCAGTTTAACTGCATGCGTTTGATGGACGGAAACGAGGATGATAACATCCCGAAAGAAATTTGTTAACTGTTTTCTGTTTGTTAAGATGCTCACATATAATACTATTACTCACATGATTTTTTTGCATTCTTTCTCTTCCCTTTTCTACAGGGACTCCACGGAGAATTTTGTGTGATGGACCCCCTGACATCGAGGCAATATGTTTGTTCCGTGTTGTTCTCCAAAACACTGCGTGCACTCTGACCCGAAAGGCGGGTCGGGTGAGACGAGAGGCGAGAGGTCGGGGTCCGAGTCGAATTCTGAACGGAACCATCACCCGCCGCATCCACCCCAACAACAGCCGCAGCAGACAAAGACGAAGTCGTCGCAAAAGCAGGGCCGGGATCAAGAGTGCCTGGAGAGGGGCGTGCAAGACCACGAAGGGGTTGCGCCGAGGACAACGGCTGAAAGTCAGCAACAGCATTACCAACATTACTCGCCCTTACCCCAATCGCAGCAGCCCCAGCCACGCCAGGAAGCGTCTTCCCAACCTCAGCATTACATTCCCCATCATCAGATGCGCGTGCAGGATTTGCAACAGCAATTGCAACAGCATCACCAGCAGATCTTGCTGCATCGTTCGCTGCAGCGGGCCGTGCAGCATGAAAACCGCGCTGTCGAGCAAGAGGAGAATTACTGCGATAGCAACAGCAACCACACGAGCCAAGACGGCAGCAATCACGGCCGGTGCAGCAGCAACGGAAGCAGCAGCAATCACATTATCAACAACAACAACAACAATAGCAATAGCAACAATAACAACAACAACAACAACAGCAATAGCAACAGCGACAGGAATACGCCCAAGGAGAGATTTTACGACGATAAGACACACGGGAACGAGGAAGACGAGGAAGAAATATTAGTTAGAGGTATGGCCGTTTTACATTTCTTTCCTTAATCCTATCGATATCCAAAAGAAAATGTTCAGCGAGCTAGTGTCGTCAGGAATTTTCAAGGGCAATGAGATAGATCCTCACCGAGTGCTCTGTTATTATTATTATCATTATTATTATTATTAATAATAATAATATTAATATTATATTCATCTACCCTGGCTAAGTCTAGCTCACAAAATTATTTTAAGGGTATCCGCCATTTTTTGATAGTCAAGCAAGTTTATGTCGCTTGCAAAACCATTCATTTTTTAAAAATTATTTTTAACTGCTAGTCCGGTTCTTGGTAACGATGATCGTATCCCAGATTAAGTTAAGATCAGGAACTGAATTCAGGGATTATCTCCCGCTACATCAGGAAATGTATTTTCCTGACCAGTTTTATTTTAAAGATATCGATTTTCTATGGGCTAACTTTTACATGGTCTTGTGCCAGACAAGTGTTTTAAATGATTAAATTCAAAATATATTCTCTGAATTTAAGATAATACCCACACACAACCTCGCACACACACACACATACTTACATATATATATATGATATAATATGATATGTATATATATATATATATATATATATATATATATATATATATATATATATGATGAAGTATAGTTTTAAAGTATGCTATATTTTAGTGTTAAAGTGCTCGATATCAGGGATAGAGCGAATGTAAATATAAAAGTGGATATTGAAGTCAACACCCAGAAGCGACCAGTCTGTTTAAGCATGAAAGAGACTGCCGCTCGAGATACTGACTTCAGTATGCAATTTAATATACGCTTTTTTATCCCCCTCATATTCCGCTAACTTCTTCTGAGAAATGCAAACCACTGGCATCGCATTTAGCACATTCCTGCGCAATTTTTATTTTTTATACACTACGTAGCAGCGAAACTCCCATGAGCCATTTGTTTACTTCCGGTAACATAGACCCTGTGCCTGATGAACTAGAAAAACCACATGCATACATTTAACGATTATTTATTTGCTTGCCTGCGTATGCACAACAGCTCACGAGTACACGCCTGCTTATATTTGGCCGTTTCATTTATCCACTCTATCTATCTATCTATCTATCTATCTATCTATCTATCTATCTATCTATCTATCTGTGTTTGTGTGTGTGTGTAAAAATTTATAGAAAATAGGAAAGAACTCGTTAGGTAATATATATATATAGGTATCGTTATATATATATATATATATATATATATATATATATATATATATATATATATATATATATATATCACAGTTAAGTCAAATAGGCTTTGAAAGTCTTCGTAGCCGAAGCGGTATAAAATTTTGACGGATCACACCAAGGTTCACACTACGAAGGAGGATACATTTACACTAACGGGGCGTTCTACTTAAATACGAATATCCACGATATGATCACCATTTAAGATTATACGCTAAGATGCGTAGATACAAAGAAAGGAATACATTAAAAACAGAAACGAGGATATTTACTTCGACCAATCATTTCCCTATAAATATTTTAAAATTCATTGCTTCCTACACAGTACACCGAGATGAAACGAAATAAAGCAAGACTCTTTTACGCCTTAATTCTGAAGAAGCGTAAAATTATAAATCGCCATAAAAAATGATTCTATCTACGCGCAAACTCGGAGGTGACGTTGCCCTTTCTTCTCCCTATAAAATAAGCTTAAAATTTGGTATATTTAGGCGGAAATACTGCTCAGTATCAGAGACAGACCGTTTGCAGATAACAGACAATGTAGAGATAGAAATCAACACTGTCAGATTCATCCCTCAAATGATATTGGCTCGAAGGTTGCTTGGGAGATGAAAATAACAGTATTGATTTCTATGTCTGAACACAATATAAATAGATAGATAGATAGATAGATAGAGAGATAGATAGATAGATATGAATAAATTTATATAGATAGGTAGATATGAATAAATTTAGATAGATATAAATAAATTTATATAGATAGATAGATATAAATAAATTTAGATAGATATGAATAAATTTAGATCGATAGATAGATATGAACACATTTAGATAGATAGATAGATAGATAGATAGATAGATAGATATGAACAGACTGATAGATATGAACAGATTTAGATAGATAGATAGATATGAATAAATATAGATAGATATGAATAAATTTAGATAGATAGATAGATAGATAGATAGATATGAATAAATGTAGATAAATAGATAGAAAGATAGATATGAATAAAATTAGATAGATATGAATAAATTTAGATAGATATGAATAAATTTAGATAGATAGATAGATAGATATGAATAAATTTAGATCGATAGATAGATATGAACAGATTTAGATAGATAGATAGATAGATAGATAGATAGATATGAATAGACTGAGATAAATAGATATGAACAGATTTATATAGATAGATAGATAGATAGATAGATAGATAGGTAGGTAGGTAGGTAGGTAGGGAGGCAGGCAGGCAGAGAGACAGCCAGATAGATGCAAGTCTCGTTAAAGAACATAAATATATATAATTAAAAAAAGGAACTTACAAGGAGAAGGATGAGCATGCGAGGCGCGCTGTTTAAAAATAAACTGGTGACATAGCCGATAACAGACCTTTTTTGAAAATGGCTATTGCTATTAGTTGAAAGTACTCAAATATGGAAAATTTCATATTGTATTACCAACAAGAAAGAAAAATAATTTTTAGAAATCTTGAAAGGTTGAAGAAAATAGAATTTTCGCTATTTTTAATGAAACTTTTAGAAAAGAAAAATTGCTGCGCAAATACACGCTATATATAAGTCGCTTTGTAATAATTTTTCAAAGCAGTTATGAGTTTACAATTGATTTAGACACCAGAAAAAAGTGAGTTTTAAATTTTGAGGTAGTTTCAACATGAAAGAGACTGTCGCCGCTCAGTGTTGAATACGGTGTACAGTATATATATATATATATATATATATATATGTCTGTGTGTGTGTGTGTTTGTGTAAGTGTATGTATATATGATAAAATTATAGCTATAAGGTATGCTATATATATGAGATAAAGTGCCCGATATCAGTGAGAGAGTGTATGTAAATATAAAAATTGACATTGAGGTCAACACCAAGCAGTGAGAGCATAAAACAGATTATCAACGCCTGTTATATATATATATATATATATATATATATATATATATATATATATATATATATATATATATATATATATATATATATATATATATATATATATATATATATATATATATACACACACACACAGACACACACACACACACACACATATATATATATATATATGTGTGTGTATACGAGGTGAATATTGAATTCAATACTCAGAGACAGCAGGCTTTTTCAGGCCGCAGCAGGAAACAGCCTGTCACTTCTGAGTGTTGACTTCAATGTTCACTTTTGTATCTATATTTACATACGCTATATCTCTGATATTGAGCACTTTATCCCATAAATATAGCACACCTTAAAACTATGTTTCTTCATATATATATATATATATATATATATATATATATATATATATATATGCAAATTACGTAAGCCTCAATAACTCGAATATGCTGTCAAATTTTAAACGATTGATATATATCTATCTCTGTCTGTTTGTTTTTGTGTGTGGAAGGAACGTGCTGATTAATTCTTGTTTCCTGGATTGGGGATAGTGGTCAGGGCTTAATTAAGCAAGTTAGCAAGTTGGTTTCCGGTTGTTTCCCATCAGTTGCTTTACGTAGCATTTTTCAAACTAGGTCTGCGTTTCCGTCTTTTCGCAAGGATGTATTGCCCTACATCAAATTGAGTAATTTAGTATATGAATTTAATTGCCAGTGTGCTGCTGGTTATGTGGGGCGTACAACCTTGCATTTGGAAACTAGAATTAATCAGCACGTTCCTTCCAAAATACGACTTGGTAAGATAGATAGAATATGCTATCTTCCCCCCATGAATATGGAATCGGCTATTGCTCAACATTTAGTTGAGAATATAGCTTGTGCCAAGTTGTATAAAAAAGAGTGGTTTAGAATTATTCATACAGCCGATTCCAATAATCATTTGAAGATTTTCGAGTCGGTCTGTATAGGATTTAGAAAACCTTCTCTCTGCCGGCAGAAAGAATTTATAAGGTCTCTAAATCTGTTGGGGGATATTTTATTTTAACTGTCCCTCGCTATTTATTTACACGATAACCCTTCCCTCGTTACAAGTATATATACTTGTTTGTTATTTTAGTGTGTTTCCCCCTCTTTTTTGCTCTTCAATATCGCTATTATTCATTTCGCTAATCCAACGATTGTCTCCTGATGAGATGTTGGCTGAAAGGGCTCTAGAGACTTTTAATATTAAAATCAATGGTTTCCTAGTTTTTAAAACTATTTATATATATATATATATATATAGTAGACCACCCCTTCGTTTTCATCGTATGACGTAACAGCAACTCAGCTCATAATACGAAGCTATAGTGAGAGAGATAAAGATAGAGAGATACTTACCCTTACTTTTAAATAGTGTGTCCTTATTTTGTATGATTTCTCCTTTCATTTTTCATTGAAATATTTTACATATATTTATAAATCAAAATGGCCACTCTTTGCTTTCACTATGGCCCTTATTCCACTCACATCTGAAGTATATAACTTCTTTTCCATCCCACTTCGCCCAAATCCTACCAAGACGCCATAAGTGGTTATTTCAATTCTGACACAATTATGTAAATATGAGATATCTGAAATATTAGTCTCTAATATGACTTATATAGCAAAATCCATAGGATTAATGTTGAGCTCGATGGAGACTAAAATTGACTTGTCAAAAAATATCTTTGCATTAAATCGTGTGTGCCGGAACTCAGTGAGTGAAGACTTACTGACTTCCAAATATGGCTGATAGCGTAACCCATTTCTTTCCAACTGGTAAAACTGGTAAACACTTTCATTCTTCTTTCAATTAATCCCAAGGACGATTTGGCACCACCAGAAGAAGCAAGAACCCAAACAGTGTTACCAATCGACACATTCTAGTATATATACTTTTGTCACATGACTGAGGGTCTCGTTTGGCGGAGGTGTTGTTTATTAAGTTCCAAACTCTACCCAAACTGCACCATTCCTTTATTCTCACAAACCATGATTGAATTAAAAGAATTTGTCAAGTCGATTCAAACAGATTTAGCAAGTAATTTATAATATCTTATAATTTATAATATCTTATAATTTATAATATCTTATAAATATCTCTAAGAAAAAGAAAACGAGCGAGGCGTATTATTTCATGTCATCGTACCGCTTGAAAATACATCGTTTAAACGCGAAACTGGCGTTTTGCTTCGATATTAAAACTTTCCCGAACGAATAACATGATATGCTCTCTAGCTGTGTTTAGCAACCAGTATAGATGGACAACAAGGAAAACAATAACTGGTTGCCTTTTGGGGAGGTACACGGGTTATGGTGAAAACATTGGCAACAGGATGTTTGCTGTGCTCAATGGTAGAATATAACAAGAGATTTGAGCCAATGAAATGCTGTTGGTACCGTGCTAAAGGCCCTTCATAAAGGACAACTAATGAAACCTAAGTACATTATTTCCTATTTTTTGTGAAAAGTATCCACCACCAAATTACCTTCCGTCTTAACACCGAAGGGTCAAGTTGTAAAGAGGGTTTTCCTAACTCCCACGAAGCCCAGTCACGAGATACAAGCAAACACGAACCTCACACATAGCGGGTATCCCAAAATAATGTATACACTCTTTAAATATTAATAGTTAATAATACATTACCGTGGTTTCAGATCTTATATGGATGAAAATTTGTAAAACAGATGGAGTGGAAAAATACTCACCTAGATCACCATATTTGACACCCTTGGATTTCTTTTTGTGGGTGTTTCTAAAAGACAAAGTTTACAGCAGGAAACCTGAAACAATTGCTGAAATGAGAATAGCAATTGAAGAAGAATGTTCTCAAATACCAGAGGAAATGATACTGGACGTTTGTAGGTTTATTTTTTCAAGATATGAAAAGTGTATTGAACAGAACGGCAACCAGTTTGAGCACTTGATGTGAACTTATCATTATATGAATATTCTGCTATTGCCCTAAATTGCTTTTAAAAGTTAATTTTCTGGCGGGGGTGTATATTTTACTCTCAAATTCTTTAAATGTGTATTCTTTCTCTTGTATTAAACTTATTTACTAGTCAAAATACATAAACTGAATAAGTTATAACGATTCAAAGAGTATATACATTATTTTGGGACACCCTGTATAAGCCTACAGTTATCATTCATACGGAATAAATACCGTGTATCTCTTTCGTATCCTATCATATATATTTTTTTCGAGGATTGATGTTGCCCAATACGTAGCTTCCTTCTTCTTCTTCTTCTTCTTCTTCTTCTTCTTCTTCTTCTTCTTCTTCTTTGTGCCGTGTCCCTCCAAGACGTGGGAAATCATGGCTTTCCACTTCCCCCTATCCTTTGCAGTTCTCAATATGTTTTGATCTTTTGTTACTGATGTGGGGCCAAAGTTGGGACCACAGAAGTTAAACACGGAACACGGATTAGATGTAAGAAAGATATATTAACAACAGGTTACAGAGATAGTGTAAGCGGAGCTTACTATATGTTAGTGCCCAATACTGTTAGTCGTACTAGACTCTCACTGTCTCTCTGTGTCACTCTCTGTCACTCTCTAGAGTGCTATGTCGCCTACTTAATATAGACCTGGAAGAGTCTATTGTGAAGTAGTTTCCGGTCTCACAATAGTTAATTCTCCCAGACCCTGTTCTACCATCAACTTACTTAAACCCGCTAAGCATGTTACGCGTTACTTTCCTTTGTCTCTCCCTCTTTCCACCCTGTAAATATCAGATTCTCCAAGTCTTCCTTTCTCATTACGTGTCCCAAACATTTCACCTGCCTCTACCTGACGGTAAGTATAAGCTTCCTCCTTGTTTGCATCCTCATCGTTGCTCACATGTTAGGTCCATGTTATCCTTAGCATCCTCCTGGAGCACCATACCTCCGTTGCCTCGAGTCTCTTTATCTTTGAGGACACCCTCCAACATTCGGTATCGTAAAGAAGGACACATGTCACGTAGCAGTTCAGATTTAAAAATGCGTCCTTGGCCATCCCAATATGTCTTTGGATCTCAGCGTTACATCCCCCCACCACCTCCTACTCTGTCAGATGTTTAGATTTTTACACCTGTTTGTTTCTAGTGTCCCCGACCTGTAAATCGCATTTCGGGCTCATCCATTTTCTAATGACCATGCACTCCGTCTTCTTGTAGTTTATGCTTAGTCCCTTGATCTCATCCTCCTTCGCTACATTCCTAGGTGGTTTTGTAATTTCCTTTTCGTGTCTGCTATCAGCGTATCTTATGTTGTTAACGTTGTGACCACCAGTGATGAATCCTGGTAGGATTTCCAGTTCTCTAAGAATTGCGTCGCTGTTTTGGTTGAATAAGTCCAATGAAAACACACAACCTGAGTTTTGACTTCAATGTTCAGTTTTAT